CCATGCCAGTTGTGATTGAATTTAAATTATTGAAATGTAGATTATGATCAGACCCAAAGAATAAAAATTCAGGAGTGGTATTATAGCCATTGTTAKCTAATGCCCCAAAAATCTAATATAGAGCTAATCATTACCATCCCTTTTAAAGAAAAAAAAATTTAACAAAATGCCTCTGATAGCACCCCATAGATGTTCCAGCTTTCACTTGGGCAGTTAACCATCTGTAGTTGCTTCTCGCAACCTTGTGGTCAATTCCAGTTTGTGAAATACACAAACATGCATGCGTGCCCACACATATACATATAAAATCTCTAGGATCCAGGGCTGTGTGTTTTCTGAATCATATGTGAAAAGAGCAACTGGCTTAAAAATAGACTAAGTTTATATCTAACAAGGGTTGCACATCTGGGTTTTTATAGGTAGCTAAGATTAAACCATAGTGCCAGCGTTATCCTTTTCATCCCTAGTTCTTGGAAACATTAGGTTTATTGTATGAAAGAGAGAGAATCTCGCCAATGCCACATTGTGCAGTCATCTCTAAATAAACTTTGTTTGCAATCTCAGTGTGTCACTGCGGCACAATTACAATTCTAGCACGCTATGTTATTTGTTGAGAAGCGTCAATTTTTKGGGGGAACAGAGAAAGTACAGTTCAAAAACTGTGAGCAGGCAAATCGATGCCATGATTAACTGATATTAACAGACACTCTGAAGATTTAAAATGCTTGCTCTGTGTTTCAAGAAAGCAGCTAAGAAAAAAAATGCCTAGCAGGGGTTAAACCCAAATGCCTGCACTGCAGCCTATTTCTGTCAACACTCCGTTCAGGAAATAAACATTTATGCTTTCTGAAATGAAAGTGTATTTTTGAAGACTAGCCGTCAGATATTTTTTGCCCTTCACACTTTCAGATGCTTAGCCTTTTTTGTAAGTTGACTGCAAAGTGCATCAGTTTGCCAGTCTGAAAAAAAAAATGTGCTTGATGAGTGCCCATGGCACCACTGTCAACCTCCGAAGTTTCTWGCAGAAGAAGGCAAGAGAGTTGGCACAAAGCATGCTTTCTTCAAGCCTGTTACCTCAGGGGTACCTGCCTCTTGAGAAGCTTTTCAATCCTTCCAAATGATGTTATTCCCAACTGTCATCTGGTTTATTTGGAGCACACTGTGTTGCAGATAAACATGCTATTTAACTGTGGGTCAAGGTAGCGAGTCGTTCTGCTAAGCAAAATGCCCGAGATACATTAAATGGCACTGATTCCCGGACAGAAATGAAGAGAGATCAGAGTTGTCAGCGATATACAAGGAATGGGCTATAGCCAGTGAAGAAAAACAAAATGTGCCAGGGTATCAGTGTATTTTAAAAAGCTGTAATACGGCTGAACATTTAAAACTATAACCTGTCACACACCAAGGATTAAGATCTCCGGGTGTAGAAAACATGAAGTTCAAATGACACAACTGCAAAGCATATTTTATTTCACTTGGGAAAGAGGTTTCTCTCCAAAGATAACTAAATGTAATAGATGATGAGGACCTCTAACTTGTAGCCCGATAGCTATAAAACACCATTAAACACCTGGTAAAAGCACAAACAGGTAATGATCATTAGGATACAAGTACACAAGGCAACAGAGCCATCAGGTATTAGAAGATTCCTTGGACTCACTTTATTAAAACATTCATTCTCATTTAGGTGTTGGTTATTTAGGTTTTGAGACTTTGCTCAGGTCAGTAAAAAGATATTATTTCATCCATATGGACTCACGGATAAGAAGTGTAGCTAGCAATTCTCAAKTCAGGTAAAAGAATTTTATGGAATTAAAATAAAATCTCTGTTAGGTATTTGCCCTCTTTACTGACCATAGGAATGTGACTGTCTCATAATGAGGTGGTGTAACTGCTACTCAGGCATTTGTGCAGGAAAGCTCTTTGTGCCACCTTTGCCTTGCAGATTGCAGAGTTGTTATATAAAGGGTTAAAAATTTGAGACAGCTATTTAGATATACCATGAAGAAGTAGAAAAGTCCAGACTTTTATTTTATTTTGCAAAGCATAGTTCCTCTTTTTCCTGAGCTTTTGCCAAAATTACACTTCCTTGAATCCACTCAGAGAGGAGGATATTGAGCAAGTAAACTTGTCATCTCTCTTATGCTATAACCATCTCCCCATGCTTCCCAACCAAATTTTTTTTTAAAAAAGTACCTTTTCATTATCTTTTTTCCTTCTCTTTATTTCATAGAGAAGTGAAATGAAAAGTTAGGTTTGCAAGAGGTATGAAACACACACGCACATGTACAAACACACAAATCATCAGCATCGAAAAAGTAAATTTCAGGATCAACCTAAAAAAAATGAAATTTTATTGCTTTTTACTTAATTAAACCCCAAAGAAATGTGTGAAACATTGTTGCGGCTGAAAAATTGTTAATTTGTAAATCACAGGGACAAAGGGGCCCCAGTGCAACTTTAAAGTTTCAGTGCACGTAAATGTCGATAGCGTGCCTTCTCCATCATCAGCACTAAATTCACATTGATGCCTCTTTTCTTCTCTGTATTGATCCTTCCATGAGAACGTAGATTTGTATCTGTTAATTAATGCGTCCTGAAACAGCGTTTGTATTAATCAGGCAGATAAGAAAAATTGGATGCCTGCACCCCCCTGACAACCGTAAAAGTGCTGGCCCTGATAAAATCGTGGATGGACCTCAATAAAAAAGTTCCTCCTTCCACTCAATAAACTAATCATCCTGCTTTTAATTATTCGGCAGAAAGATGTGTGGAGATTGGAGAATGTGTAAATCTATTTACTAACAGCAGTGTCTGGGAGGGAGAATTGGGCTGTCACAGGAAGGTGCTGCGGGCTACGCTCTCTGTCCATCTGCTACTGCAGAAAACTGCTGCTTAGGAGCATGAAAGACGGGAGAAAACCAAGGCAAATTGAAAAACCCTTTCCTTTTTTGATCTTAACTTCCCAAATGATAATTTGTTTTAGTTGTTGATATAATTTACCAAAATATCCCTACTTAGTATCTTTTCCAGAGTTAGATATCATTATCTGCACTGCACTTTATTTATTTATTTTTTCTTCTAGATCAGAGGAGATAGAAAGAAAAAGAAAAAAGAAATAGTGCATGTTTTTTGTTAGTTAGTTTTGTGAGTATAACATTCCCCAGATTGTAAGCACCTGGAGGTGCTATTTATGAGGTTATATCATTGTTTTTTTCTCTTTTGAATCTTCTTTTTAAAATGTTATCAATTATATGTCCAGTTCTAAGAGGATATTTATTAATTTAACCCTAAATTGCAATGATAAGAAAAAAAGAGATCTGGAAAAAGAAAACTTGCAAAGCCAGACAAAAATGAGCTCTGTCCTACAACATGTAAGCTCCTTGTCAGTGAAAACAATGATTTTCACACTTGCATAAAGACTCCTTTAGAAAAGTGGACTAACCCCTTTCCATGATTTTATGAAGCACTTATAGTTAGTGTTTTCACCAATAGGTCAGGAAATCATTCCCTGTTCTTTATTGTGCTGTAGCTTTTGGCATCATATGGAATAGGAACAATCTGATATGAATAAAAATGACAGCAACAATGACCCGAAGCAGGAGCCTAAAAAAGCTTGGGTGTAAGTGGATGTTTATAATTTCTGTAATATTTGAGTAATAACATCTGGAAAAGGAGTAAAATTAGATTTCTTARTTTGCATTATTAAAAATACCCTCTCCACCTTAGTGGAATTACTAATGGCAGGACCATGTATTATGGTGCTGTTGTTCTCAAAAAACATATGGGGGTAGCTGGTCATCCTTGGAGTTCCTAGAGATACCCTTGCAATGAACCTTTGCATTTTAAAGACTCTAGAAAAAGCATCTAATGGTTCAGATATCATTAAGACTTCATTTTAGAATATAGACCTAGATCTTGTGAGATACGACTATACRTATATGTTCTCCAGAGTATGCTTAATTGTACTACTTAATCTTTTATTATTGATCAACATTTTTTTTTATTTTAAATTTTTACATTTGTTTTTTTCAAGATTAGAAGAGACTTTGTGCTTGTGTGAATGAAGCCCAGATTTCTAGTGAAGAACTGAAGCAGTCAACCATATATTTCAGATAAAAATAATATATACTATAGCAAAAGTTATCAAATACATGGTATAAATGATTATCTGGATGGATATTGTATTTCCCACATGTAAAAATTAAGGTACAAGCTAATTGACCTGCTCAAGGTGAAACAGTTATTACCAAAGTAGAGCCAATATTTCCAATCCGTATCTTTCTTTCATTTCTTTTCTACCAAACCCTAATATGTTTATATTTAACTTTTAAAATAACTGAACTTGAGTAAAAATTGTGACTTTTTTACTTGGTGAAGAAGCCAAGCTGCTACGTATTCTTTATTTTATACCACTAGTTGCCATTTTAAAAAKAAATTTATATTAAGTATCATTGGGGACAAATTATTCAATTGAGAAGGCTTGTCTAGTTGTAACTCCTCATTCACTATCATTACTGAGAAATGTTTTCAAGTTGCAGTCTACTGTGTGGCCCACCCTGTTTTCCTTTTTGTTGTTGTTTCTGGTTTTTTTTWAATTATTATTTTGACTTTTATATTGTTTATCAATATCAGTTTTTAAAAAGTATGTAGCTAAAAATCTGACTTCCCATAATACATTCCTAAAACCTTCACCAGTAATAAGCAATAAGGATTACATGGTATTTTTTTGATAAATAAAATTTTAAAATGTAGACCTTTATTTCATTTCCCTCAGCTGAGTCTATAAAACCTATAAAAACACCAACCAATCGAAGCTGGTTTGTAACTTTTACTTTGCTGTTCACAGAGTGATCAGGGGAAAATTTTAAGAGCTTCTAATCAAGGTTCAGCATCATTGTGAGCTCCAGTGCAGAAGCTGACTACCATATGAAACTAATGTTGCATTATGAAATTATGGCTTTAAAGTAACTTGATCTGCTCATCTTTTCATGCAGGCTTCTCCACACTGTCCCTGGCGGACCAGATGAGCCTTCTGCAGAGTGCTTGGATGGAAATTTTGATCCTTGGTGTCGTATACCGATCTCTTTCATTTGAGGACGAACTTGTCTATGCAGACGATTATATAATGGACGAAGACCAGTCCAAATTAGCAGGCCTTCTTGACCTAAATAATGCTATCCTGCAGCTGGTAAAGAAATACAAGAGCATGAAGCTGGAGAAAGAAGAATTCGTCACCCTCAAAGCTATAGCTCTTGCTAATTCAGGTTGGCATATTGACATGGTCATTGCTTCATTTTTTAATATGTCATTTTTACCCCCTTCCCTTAACTTCATCAGGGATTTGTTAGACCTAGTTTGTAAATTCTGTATGAGTCAGCAAAATTATAATCAGTGTAGCTTCCAAGAATAGTTAGAAATGAGAAAAATACACTTAAAAGGAATTATTTTTATTTTYCTTGCTTATTGAAAGCTGTGAAACTTTAACCACCTAATATACTTACTGATTTAGATCATAGCAGAGCGAAAGCTCTGGTATGAGCAACATAAGTAGATGCTCTGGGGACAAAATTAGCTCTGCTGTTGTTYATAGACTAGTCCATGTAAACGAATTGTGGAGCCAAACAAACCACTTTCTCTCAAAAATACACATTTTTACAATAGGGATAATGCTTTTATTGTTGCTTCTAATTTTAGTTATCAAACAAAACTCCATTTCTTACATTCTGAAATCCTCTAAAAGTCAAATGCTGCTGAAGAAGTATGTCCCTCAAAGGTCCCACCTGGGCAGCAAGGGTTAAGAATTATGGGGATAAATGTTCCTTCCATTTGAACTGAAACGTGCTAAAATAGGGAGCAACTCTGATAAGTAAAAATCGTTGGTGCTTTGTTGTTTTTTCCTTTGTGCCTCTTCTAATGCTTTATTGTGGTCTTAAGTCTCTTTTAGCATTTGCATAAAGTTCAGGATAGATCCCCCCTTAATGACGTGCCGATCATTAGATACCTGTGTGTCAATAACATGCTCTGATGCTATGTACCATTGACAGTCACACCGTGCCCCTCCATCTGCTTTTGTTTTGACCCTATCTTTGAACTTTATCTTGGTTGCCGGCCAGTAGTTTTCCCTTTAATTACAAGAAGGAAACTGTCAATAAAATCTGTTAAATGGGATGCAATGAGTGGCTTGAATGGGCGGATGGCTATTTGTTCAAATTCTGCAGCATTCAAGGTATTGACAGTTTGTTTTCTGGGGCCATATGTGACGATCAATCTCAGGCTGGGCTCAGCCGCGCTGAAAAATGAAAAACCAGATTGCTTTTGCTTACTTGTGGATGACGACTTTGTGATTTGGCACGGTCCTAGTGAGATGAGACCTTCTGCCCAAATTGCCCCCATGAGAGCTAGGGACGCGTGACTGTTTTTAGAAATAATTTTTAATTGATTTTGTAATTAACAGTTCATCTACAATATTGATGCATAAATCCTTGGACTGATAGGAGGGAAATTGTTTTCAACAATGAAGTTGTACTTTCCTATTTGTCTTCATAATGGAGTTTAGCATCGCACAGTTTTAATTGGGAATATAACCCCCTTCCTTACCACACTGTTCACCCCTCTTCTCCCACTCCTCTGTGAAACTATAAAATATGATTCTTTATGACAAATGGTTTATTGTCATAAACCCTCAGGAACCCTCTGCCTTGCTTGTGAGAAGGTAAAAGTGGGAGATGGGATAGAAGTTTTCTGGAAATTTATTAGTTTGTACAAACTTCACAGATGGATCTCTCATATTTAGGTGAAAGATTTTATAGCATTGCTTGGGGAGGCATTTTTATTTGGTAATAATGAAACAATTCTCATTTGAAACAATTGGTCAATTGTTTTTAAAATAGAGTAAGTATGTTTTACATGTTTTATATTTCAAATTGCTTTTTAAAATTATTAGCTAATTGTGAATGCTGAGCAATGCTAAAGCTTTATCATAAAAATTGCTAAAAGTTTATAATTTTAGATGTTAGATGTATGCTTTATGGCTAAGTATTATAATTTAGAGTACCTTAATTAGTAGCAGCATTTATGTCTCTGTTGCTTAGAAATATAGTCATTAATATTGTTGATATATAAATGTTCTAATCCCACATACTCTGCTGTTGGGGGAAGAAGTGACCTACTTTACAACAGTGACTGGTGATTAGACTTTATTTAAAGAACTTGTTAGTTTATTTTTCTGTTTAAAGCCAGAAATATTTATTTACCAAGCTTTTCTGTTTCTCCTATTATCATATTTGCTTTGCAGGAAATTTCTGCATGGCACAAATTTTTTCTGCAAGTGATTCTAACCCTTTTTTATTTTTAGCCTCTTAATACCAAGAAAATTAATTGAACCAAACTCCATACTAAAGAAGACGTGATTAAGGACTATAAAAACTATTTTAACCTCTACATTGTCCCACCTTTCCTGTGCTGTAAACTTTTGTTCACCATCTAACACACAAGCACCACATTTTTAGTTTGGGGAAAACAACTCAAAAATCCTTTTTTCTTTTTCTTTTTACATTGCTGTCAATGTAAATCTATTTTATTTCAGTTTTTTAGTCATAAAATTATAGGTTTGTCTAGATTAGAACCAGTGTAAGTTTCTTTAACTACTCATGAACACATCAGTATGAAAATATTTTAATACTTTTCATAAATATCCTAAAAAACTCCTAGATTTGCTTTTAGTATTTAGGAATTTCAAATGAATATAAATGACGTTTTATGCAAAAAATCCCTAATGTTATTTATGTAAGTATTTTAGCTTTCCCTGTATAGCTATGTGTTAATAACCAATGTCCAATTTATCTAGATTTCATGTTATTTTAAACATGTGTCTTCATTAAAAAATTATAAATATTATGCTTGGGAAATAAGGCACTTGACCTCCTATAAWGACTGTCATATTTTTTGTGGTGGTGTTTCTGTCGTATGTGAATTCAGGAAAACATGACACCAGAACAACATTGGTAGTATATTGCCTATCTTCAAGTACATGGCTCAGAATAGCACCATGATGAACTAATACTGCAATTCTTACATACATGTATTTGAAAATCCTAAATAATTATTTCAATTACTTTTGAACATAACAAATTTATAGACTCATATAAGCTGTGTTTTCTCTTATCTTTGAGTATTAACATTGAGAAATTAATTATTGCACCCATGATGCAGCTCTGTGGGATCAAATTTAAAAAGAAAAATCTAGGTCACAATTTTAACATGGTAATTTGTAGATTCCAGTCTTCTCATGCATGCACCATGAGGTTAGACTGATCTCTYGAATTGTTTCCATTTGGGGGAATTCTATGATTTTATGATGAATTTTATCTTTGTATTGGAGAATATTGTGAAATATTGTTATAAGCATTTTGGGTAAGGTTATGCCACAGGATTCTATTCTCTTGATTGATTCCATTGATTCATATACCTATGAATTTGTTTGAAAGTGCTATCACTGGTCCCAATGTAATATACTCATTTTCACATAGTGGAAGATGAAAGGAGTCTAAAAATTATGAATCACCTTAGGTCTGATTATTCTCTTTTGTTCAAGTCACAAGACCTTTATACTTCATAGTTGCCACTCACATTTTAACTTTTGTCACCCTTGTCCTGTCCCCAGTCTGAAAACAGGTGAGTTCATTCCTTTCAAAAATAAGTATTTTTAAAGTTAGGGATTTTTTTTTTAACTTCTACACGGTATTTCTGGAAGGATAGCACCTAATGATACACAGCTAAAATTAATACTTTGGTCATCAACTTCAAATCCTACATAATTATAACAACCTCATAATGGCAATATGAGAATAATGGCAAGAAAAAAAATGTACATGTTCTTAGCTGATTTTACTATAAGTTGAAATAATTTTTTCTTTTATATTCTGGAGATGATTTTATCTAATGTCCAAGATATTATTTTTTTATAGAATCTTTCTGTAGCCATTTTTTTCTTTAATTCTCTTTTGGTTAATCTCATTTGATTCCTACAACATACCCATGCTGTAGACATGTCTAAATCATTTTACAGATATCTGAAGTGAGCTGATAAAGAAGTATGGTCTCTGTGAAGCAGAGAGTTGGATCTTCTGTCCCTTGCTATCAGTGAGCTATTTGTATTTCATAAATAATTATGTATTATATCTTTAAAAGGCTCAGTGTAGAATACTAGAGCCATTGTAATTTCATATTCAAGAACCTAAATTAACATTTTTATATTTAGTTAAGAATTGTGTGCCTTCTTCTTTTATTTTGCTGTCTTTTTGAATTTAAGTTACAATTGTTCTTCAGTATCTGGAAAAATTGGTTCCAGGACCTCTCTGCCCACCCATGGACTCCAAAATACACAGTTTCAAGTCCCTTATACAAGATGGCAGCACTTGCATATAACCTATGTACACCTCCTGTATACTTTAAATCATCTCTAGATTACTTATAATACCTAATACAATGCAAATGCTAAATAAATAATTATTATATTGTGTAGGGAATAATAGCAAGAAAAAAATCCGTACATSTTCAGAACAAACACAGTTTATCTTTTTGGATATTTTCTATCCATGGTTGGTTGAATCTATGGATCTATATTCCTCAGATAGGGAGAGCTGACACCTATAAAACCACCCAGGAAAATGACAAACTGAATTTAAGAGGAAATGCTTACCATGTGATTTTTAGTGTCTTGTGGTAAATGAGCATGGTAGGTAGATCTTTTACCCAGACTAAAAAGTAGTTCATGCTAAATAAGAGATAAGAAATCAAAATTATAATTTTCTACCTTCTAGTCTACATTTTTAAACAGAAATCTAACATTGCTTCTCAGGTTAATTATATTTCAGATGATATATTTGAAAAGTATTTTTAATGCAACCTTTAATTTTCATATATATTATGATATTGCAAAATTTTAAGCAAAACAAAAAAATAGTTCTTAAATATACTTTTTTAATGCTTTGTGATTACTGTGCCTTGGCACAGTATAAAACATATTTGCTGCAAAAATATCTGYATTTTCAACCTGAGTAGTAGCAAACAAAATACTCTGAAGTTGCTTTACTTTGAGGTTTTCAGTGACTATAACGTCAGTTTCATTTATGGGTCTAAGACAAAGAGCAATCTATTACAAAACTTAATTAGCATGATGCAGATCATGTTTGATGCCATGGAAGGTTGAAGTATCCATCAACCAAGTTGACGTCAACATTCGCTTATCCACTAAAATTATCTT